AATTCCCATCGCGATCGCGAATGCCAGGAAAAACTCCTTGGGGGTCAGTGTTTTCTTTGTAAATAAGGACCTTCACTCTCATGTGATCAGATATGTTTGCTCGGGCGATCCGAGCCGAGAAGGGGGTCGTTCGGACTTCCTCGAGAACTCTATCTATCTCCGCGCCTTGCTAAATACTCGATATATCTATGAACATATATCCTTCATATTGGATGCGGTTCGTTCGACTGCTGCCCACATCTTGGCCATCTCGTCTTGTTGGGTTTGATTAATGTTGTGCGCTCATCATCAAGTTGTGATTACTCCGCCCATAAGATGTTCTCCTCCTCCTTTTCTACAAAGTATCGATCGCGCTCGAGGCGGGTATGGTTTCGTTGAGTTGGGGCTCGGTCCTCGTTGGGGCTCGGTCCTCGTTCCAGGCTCGTGGTGATCGTCTGAATTGCGATTTTTCGTTTGAATTATCGTCCAGATCTACGACCGGAGGCGCCTTATCAATTGGGGTGCGCTGGTCATCGCGTTTGGCTCGGCGGTGCCGAGGACAGGGTGGTACGGTGATAGTCCAATGATTCTTGGCGCGCCGGTTGGTGTGGAAAAGTTTAACTCCGGCGGGTTGAGGCATCCCATGGATCTCCGTATCAGGCTTGCTCCCCTCCCTCGGGTTCGGCTTACCGTGGCTAAGCTCTTACGCTCGTCGTCCATTGCCACGTTTCGCACATCTTGCTCCGCCGATTTCTTGAGGACTTCTGGTGTCGCCTCCGTTGTTCCAGCAGCTCGGTTCGCTCCAAAGTTTTTGGCACCGTTCTTCTCAGTGTCTGCATTGTCTGCACCGGTATTGTCGGTGCCGTTGTTGTTAGCTCCGAAGTTGTCGGCACCGTTCTTCTCGACGCCACTACTTTTTCAGCCTCCGTGTTCTTTTCTCCAGGTTGGTCTCTTCTGGGGGTCTCGAACTCGTCGCCGGTGGTCATCTTTGTCGAATCGTTTGTCGAGTGGTTCTTTGTGTGTAAGATAATCTCGGAGTCCTCTTAGACAGCGCCAAATTGTGGAGGTCGAAACCTACTTAATTGAATTTTTCAAGGGTTTAAGAATCACAAGAACAAAGACAAAAACACGAAAATTGTTCTTAAGAGAGTTTTATTGATTTTTGCTAAGTGTTTGTGTAAAAAGTTGCGGATCTCCTTTACAAAGGAGTTACCAGGATATATATCCAAGTCTAAGTCGGATAGGGTTTTTTTCTAAGTCGATAAAGAAAATTTCCTTATTTTTCAGGATTTTCTTTTATCTAAGTCGGCGCTTGCCACGAACTTCATCGTCTTGGGCTTGACCCTGTCTCCTCACCATCTTGGGCTTGTGGACCTCGGCACCAGCATTCTCCTGAGCTCTTCATGGCGACGGTGTTGGCGAGGTGGCAAGGTATCTGGGACAACGACATCGGCACGCGCATTCGGCAGAAGAAATGGTCGACAGAGACAGTCGCCAGCAGAAGCGGTGGGCGGCAGAAACAGTAGTCGGTGGAATGCTTCGGTGGTTGGTAAAATAATCTATTCCGGCGAGGTGTCCAGGTCTGCATAGTGAACTCGGCCCAGATCATTTTGGCTCATTTCTATACTTAGCGACTTCGTTAAAAATAACTGTCGGAGTGAGTTTTGATCCCAACATTCATCAAGTTATTTGAACCATTATTTGTAACGTCTAAAAACGCCTTAGGTTGGTCTAATAGACAAACTACTCAAACAGAGCTAAAAACTTTGTCTAAAAGATAAACATGATGTTAAGAGATTCGCCTCGGTTAAAAAAATTATTTTATTTTAAATATGTACAATATATAACTCTTGTTATACCAAATTAATAAATGACGTGCTAGAAAAAATTAAAATTAAAATCACAAAAACATAATATACGAGAACCAAAAAAAGGTTTTAAAAATCGTAATGGTTATTGTCTTGTTATATTATTAAAAAATATTATTTTTAATCTATTATAAATGACGATATTATTTTATAATCCACGAATTACGTATTTGCAACATTCTGAATCGAATTGTTCGACAAATGATTCTACAATAAAAAAATTTATCCGCAGTAAAAATTTACTATGAACGGTTTATGTTTCACATATGAAAACCGAAAAGATTTAATATGCATTATCTTACGCTACGAAAAACGGACTTCTGATAAAAAAAAATTCTATTAGTTTGCAAGAATTCATATTTTCTAGAATCGAATCTCATATTTCATGGTGTAAA